GGCCGGGTCAAAGTCACAAACCCGGCTTCCTGCCGGTGTGCCGGGCTCAGGCGGGTGAGCGGGCGAAAAATGACCCGCAACTGTATGCGGGTCACTCGGAAACCCGGCAGCGCAGATATTTCGAGCCATTAGTAGCGCTCGCTCTTAATAAGGCGGAGTCGCCTAGCAGCGAATATGCTGCGTTCGTTGGTTATTTTGCGAGGTTTTGTCTGATGAGGCCGACTAAGCCTGTGTCTTCTGTCAATTAATCATTGATCATGAATCATTGATGATGATTTGCGTTCAGTCGCTTGATAGGACAGTGAGCCTGGCAATCCGGGCTGGGTTACCCGGCCAACCCGGCGGGCCCGCTAAACCCGGCACATGGGTGAGAAAAGACTGCCGAGTCACCGGGGCCGAGCCGGGGAAGCGGGTTCAAAGGCTGCCGGGCCGGGCGACTAGAAAATCGCTGGGTGCCCACCTCCCCACCAGCAGGCTGCTGGTAATGATGACGACGATAGTGGGTACGTAGTCTATCCGTCAATCTCTCTTCATCGATCACTCTTCGCATCGATGCATTTTAGCTCACAAGGGGTCAATTTCAGCCTTTTGAATTGGCACGTGGTCTTAACCTTCTTATAATATATTTCCGACTATCAAATTTTCGAGTTCCCCTCTTATCGCATTGGGCAACTCAAGCATAGGCACTTTTGAAACGTTTGATACGTTTTCAGTCGTCATCACTGCTACCAGAAGATGATGACGAGGAGGAGGAACCACCTGACGGGAGAAGGGACCATCGGCCACAGCGGATCTATCCACATCAACTCACTGCTGGAAGATCGGCTTCCCGAGGAGCCACTTCTAGTACGGCTGCGACCTCTGATTATCATGGGGATCTCCGAAACCTTTGGACGGGCTGACGACCTCATACGCGACTTCACATATCGTATCTACTTCACACTACTCATGTTGTGGGAAGATATGCACATGTGACAAGTGAATTTTGGGAAGTTAGTATTGGTTTCTGTACACTTCTGCCCTAATCCGTATATGAACTCCTATAATTGGTGAGGAAACCTCAGAGCTCAGCTGAGGATAGCGAACATATATTCCTCGATGCCACTGCTGCCCACCTGTGCCGAGAGCTGATCAGTAGCCGAAGCCATAGCCGTCGGAGGCAGCATTAACGCCGCCCATTCCGCTTGAGAAATCGCCGTTATCTTGAACCCTAGGGCCGCCAGGCATTCACGACAGAGTTGCTCCCAACCACATATCGACGTCATGGTGCCCTGAAGAGCCGCTACGATGGAAGAGATGATCAGACTAGACTCACCTCGATGGTTCTGATGAACTCATTGGGCCGCTCTATCTCGACGACCTCTTTTGAATTGTCATAGACAACATCAAAAGGGAAGAGCCCGAGGGCCATGCCACTAAATGAAAAATGCATTTACCGGGGATCGAACCCGGGACCTCTCGCTTACTTAACACGGATTCCATCCGCCTTAACACCATGACAGACAACTCCCAACTGAGTTGCCGCCTTCATCGACAGCCGCGGTAGAGATGCACACTTTCGCGCGCCCAATATAGCAGATAACGATGAATCGTTGAGACCAGAGGATGACGGTACCTGAGCGAATCTTACGCACGCGGAAGATTTTCTTTCAAACTCACCCTCCCAACGACTCTGGCGAAATACAAGGCCTTAGCCGCTGTGGCCATCCAGTCGGGCCTATAGGACTTGGCAAGCTGGACTGTGAGGGCCTCTACCAAACGCCCACAAGCAGCATTGAGCACCTCCGAACCGCCATGCTGCTTGAGAAGAGTCGAAGGCCTGAAGGGAGGAGGAGGAGGTGAAGGAAGCACCAACCCTGACAGGATAGCGTACATGAAGACACATAGTGGTATCATGAGGTTGACCAGATTGGATACGGATAAGGTCCCCATCTGAACAACATAGGGCTCGTATGATGGGCTGTAGTGGTCGTCCTATTACCCTCTTGCTCAGTTGGTGAATTAAAGTAACAACAGCCTTGCCGAGCTTCATAAGAGGTACATTCAGCATTCCCAAGGCCCACAGTGCCCGTACCAGACAGTCGTTCACAGCTTCCTGGCTCATGCCGTTGTCACTACCACCTGTATCAAGTCGATGTACAAGGTGGGCGCAGCAGTAGAGAACCTGAGCTCA